TCGATACTGCGTCAGCGAACAGTCGGTCCTCGAGACCTCAAATCACCATCGAGCCATCGCCGTATAATGATCGCTCGACACCGCTTATGGAGGCTTTTGTGGGACAAGAGGCTGGGACGGATGAGAGGCCGCCGCCTACTTACCTTGAAGCCACTACCCCGGGTCTTTATACGAGTCGACTGAGTGGCGAAGAAGGCGCGAGGCTGCTCTCCTTTGATGGACGAGAAGCCCGGGATGCGAGTTACAAGGAAGAGCAGTATGGGAGACGAAGTCTCAGATCGCAATGCCTCAAGAAGACCTGGTTGAAGGTGGTCGGCACGGTACTTGCTATGATGCTTGTGTCTGCTATGCTGGCCCTCATGGTTGCCGCGGTGTCAGTCCGAAGGGACAGACAGGTTAGTAGATACTCCCAAAGAAGCACTTCATCATACTGACATATACGTCAAGAACTCTGCCACTACCTCCCTATCTTCAGCACAGTCCGCACAGGGTGACGCCGCCCACCCCGAAGGCTTCATCGACGACGATTCCGACAAACCCAGTCTCATCGCCGTCCCATGGCCATCACCATCCGCCGCAGCGCAACCCACAGCACCGAAACAATCCTTCCCGATTCGCTGGCCATCCAAGTGCGGAAAAGACTACAACGTCCGAACCGAACACCACGACTTCGGCCAAACAAGCGAGCTCAGCATCCAAGAAGCCATCCACCAACTCGACGGCCCATACAGACGAGTAGCAGGCTGGATACACGTCGCAACCGCCCCTCCCGAGCAAGCCCCCGGCACCATCCAAGTAAAGACATCCTACGCCGTATCCGCCTCCGTCGACGTAAACGCCGTCCGATACGCGTCCACAGACAACAGCCTCACAATCGGCGATCCCTCCTTCCCCGACGGTTTCGACGGCGTGCGCCCCGGAAAAGCCTGTCTGGGCATGTCCGTAGTAATTTACATGGCCCCCGGCGCCACCCTGTCAAAACTACACATCGCAACAACCCACATGGGCATGCAAATCCACTCTGGCACAAACTTCACCGTCACAGACTCTACTTCCATCTCACTGACCACCGGCACCCTCGACGCCATCGCCTTTTCCTCACGCCAAACATACCTTTCCACAATCTCTGGCTCCATCTCCGGCGCCTACGCCCTCTCCGACCTCCTTTCCGTTAAAACCAAATCTGGATCCGTAAACATCGACATCGAGCCCCAGCACGCCGCAGAAGGCTCCACAAACCCCGCTGTCTTCAGCGTGGATTCTCTCTCGGGTAGTATCCGCACGGATTTCAAACGCAAACACATCCCCGAGCGCGACTACCAAACCTACATCAACACAACCGTCGGCTCCGTAGATGGCACTTTCATCCACGGGTCGCGCACGGAGATCAACAGCGTGGCTGGCCTTGTTACGGCTGACCTCTTGCCGTTTAAATCCGGGGATTACCAGAGCGAGATCTATACGCATACACACTCGGGTCAGACTTCTCTCACACTGCGCTCGCCGTATAAGGCTAAGGGCGTGGCTATGAGTGGACTGGTGAGCACGCACAAGAGCACGAGTGGTGGGTTGGATGTCACATACCCGGAAGAATGGACGGGCAGTGTAGATGGCACGAGTTTGAGTGGTGCGCTGCATTTGCAGGGCAAGGAGTTGGAGTTGTTGGGCGAGAACGATGAGCCGGGGAAGAATCATGTGGAGGCGAAAAAGGGGGATGGGAAGAGTAGTTTGAGCTTCGATACTGTGTCTGGCGGGTGTGAGATCAAAGTTGGGAAGCTGTAGATCGCACGATATAGCTTTGGCTTTGGTGCTGGGGGTTAGATGGTAGACTTGCTGCCTGGAATTGACTCCTCATAGATGGAAGATATCACGATCCATTCTACTTGCAGCCCAACTTCCATCTCTCTCGTCAACTCGAACACGCCGTCTCCTCGATCGCGCACGCCTTCACATCAACACTAACTTTGTATACAAACATGCGACATGTCAATTCCCTCACTATGATGATAGTGTGGCCGTCGTGGATGAGTTGTCGTCCGCGCGTCCCGCTCCCGCCAGCACCTCCCTGCCAGCCCTGTCAAAACCACTGTCTCGGCGCACATGGATGACCCCCGTTCCTTCACTTATGTTGTACACGTCGATCCCGGTTTGGGGGCAGTAGGGCTGGCTGGGGAAGTTTAGGGCTGAAAGATGTGCGGTTGGGTTCGGGGGAGTTGCGACGCAGCTACGCTACACCACGACCGGGTGTGTTGGGTTAATTGGGGGTGTCATGTGTCGTTCGTGATGGGGGGGAGGGCTACGTCATGGCATAAGGCTGAGTTTTGTGAGAGATGGTTACAAGGTTTGGGGGTGTTCGTGAGGTGGTGGTAAGGTGCAGGGACTGGGCTGTTGGTGAATTGGTGAATTGGTGTCTTGGTTGTGTTGCGATACGCTGAGGCGGATACGCTGTGGAACGCGCTGTTATAACAGATCTAGATATGAAAGGTGGCCATGTCGAACAACATTGTCTATGACGTGGTCGAGGGGTTGCTGCAGAATCGTTTCGTACGAACCTAGCTTTTGCATGCAGAATCTGCGATGCACGGGTGGTGTGGTCTCATATCGCACATAAGATATGTGGTCGTGATATGGTGCTGATGATCCCCAGATGGTAAAGCAGGTTCTCCTCTTTGGGACGATCGACGCCGCATTGGCACACTGCCTGGGCGACTGGATTCCCGTTTGCGACAATTCCAAGTATGTCTGTTGTTGGCCGAGAAGTACCGGACAGATCTTGACCTGAAAGGCACGAAGCTGTGGAGATGCCATTGACACCAGGGGCAAGGCAATATTTACTACTAATCGCATAATGGCAGCGGCGATCTGCAGCGATTTTGAGTTCGTGAGAATTGAAATCATTCATAGTCGGCGTTTTATGCTCTTTTCGAGCCACGATGCTTACTGCTTGGGGTCGTTCCTTGTGGCGCATCATCTTGAACGATCCGGCACGGCACCCGAGGCAGGGCTGTAGTAGTTCGTGCTTCGGAATTCGAGCTCTCGGAAGATTGCAGGTAGCCTGGGTTCTCAAGTTCCGGTGGTAATTGTGCCCTGTTGACAAATGTGCGTTTGGGTTGGTGGTGGTACAAGACTGAGGCATGCATCGTAACGAAGCCACGAACCAGGGCAAGATTGCGAACCACTCCGCGGCCTCGTGATCTGAAGTTATTCCTCCATGCGTGCAAGGCCAAGTCCTGGAAATATTGAATTCAATCAACGACGTCTTGTAACGTTCAGACTAGCAGGTAATTTGGCGATCGGCCGCTGTCACTTGTCAACATGACTCAATGACGTGCAGAAGCTTGATAACCGTTGCACCGTGCTAACTACACACGACGGACGACAGACGAGAGGATGTTCCGTTGGCGCAAAGATGGCGCCATTCCGGGCAGAACGGAATGAAGTGGCTTCGCTTCGGTCATGGGCAGTTGACGATGCCACTGCTCGGCGATAACGCGGTGCGTCCGCGCAGTGAATAGCTGAATACGTCGACTTCACATGGAAATGCGGCCACAACTCCGCTGCACGACACAACCGAGGGCTCGTGTCGGCGAATCAATATAGAAAAAACCGAGAAAAGAGTCGATGGTGCGGTACACGTTGCGAGCAGGGTGGGTCTCAGGTTCCCCTGGACGTGTGTCAAGAGTGTTTCGGACCTGTCGCGACGCGGTAAAGAGACGTGGGGCCAGAGGAAGCGACTGCTGACTCAGCCCATCCCTCACCAAACTACGCGCCACATGCGATGATACACTGCCCACCCCCCAATCAGCTGCTCCGTGCCATCCAACTCGCACTCGATTGAGACAAAACTTTTCCAGCTATGATGAAACTGGATCCCTAAACCTGGTAGTGGAGTTGATACAGCGGGAAGTTGCGTATCTCGCGGCCGACCTCTCCCAGCTCTCCATCCTTCCATAAACGACATGCACCAGCCTGTTCGAGCGCTGAAACTCGACGCCGAGCTGCAACGAGTGATGGGATGCCCTTCGAGCTGAACTCGTCGACCAAGTGCTCCCTGTCAGAGGGTCGTCATGATGGCCGAGGGCAGCGCGGCATCCATGTCGACACCTCCGCCTCAGCAACATGGGGCACTTGGTGCGCAGGCCCGAGGAGCCTCTCCGAGCCAGCCGAGAGGATCATGGAGACAACGACTGGTGCGACCGTTCAGAGTGCGTCTAATCGCCTTTTGGCATCCCAGCAGCCTTGCGCCCGGTCCACCACCCACTACACCATCCCCGCCAGACGCTCTTTTGGGTGAACGCTTCTGCTGTGGCCGTTCCAGATCACCTGCAGCCAAGGCGCGTCCCGACACTTCTCTCAAACTTGCGCCCAAGCGGTTCCGTTGCGTCAATCACAGAGATCATTGCTCTTCGTTGTTCCTCTCGGATGTTGCAACCCCCGTGCATTCATCATATAGCCTAGCAACCCCTCCAACCGCCTTTCCTACTATTTGGCCCGTCACTCTTTAGGATCCTGCCCAACTACTATCTTCGTATACATTTCTTTCATTTGGAGCGGGCTCCATCCGCGCTGGCTGCGATTGAGAACTTTGTTCTCGTACACTCATTTGAGAAACTTACATCCAACCCGGCGCCACATCTGCTCAGCCATAGTCGCACAGCGCTATCGCCCTGCCACATTCCTTTCTGCAGCCGTCTACTTTCGTTATCAATGTGAGTTTCCTAATTGAGAATTGCTCGATGTCACTCAGGGCTTCGACGGGTGATCCCTTGTCTGGCAGTATAGCCTAATCAGTCGCTAACCACGTTGCACTACAGACTACTTCCATAACATCTTACGGTCGTTGTATATAGAGAACGGAACCCAAGATGGAGTTCAATGCGGTTCAACAGTGAGTATTCTCAGTGAGCCTTCCTTCGTGCGCGCATGCTGACGGCCTTTGTAGGTACCGTCCGTCACCTAATCGGCAGTACGCCATGGGGCATCCCTCCCCCTCCCCAGGGATGCAGTCAATGTACTCTTACGCAAGCCTTCCACCTCATGAACAGCAACAGCATCAACATCAACATCAACAACAGCAGCAACAGCAGCAACAGCAACAACAAGGCCTGCACCCTATGTCCAGACCGTCGCCACCTCAGCCCACGTGGGCTGTGCCGCAAACTCAGCAGTACTATGCTACGCCGCGGGGTCCTGTTGTAGGCAACAGAGAGGATCAACGACAGTTTATGGGAAGACCGGACATGATGACTTCGCAACCGACTGTGACTAGTGGTGTTGTCTACAGCACCACCATGACTGCCCCGCAATCGCTTGCGACGACTGACTACTTTCCCGGCGTCATCGACACAAGTAAGCTTCTTCAGTAGTAGGCATGCATGGTATGCTAACGAACAAAGGTCCATGGGGTCAGAAGGTGTGCGAAGAGCTAGAATCATTCCCCTCCCTGGAGTCGGATGTGTCGGACTTCAGTCATGGCATGATGGGACACGATGAGAACACTCCGATCATTGATCTACGCCAATACAACAACATGGGCCAACAAGAACACGACAACATGGCCAACTTCAATCCGAACTCCACCCGAAGACTATCTGAGTCGTCTTTTTCGATGTCTAGCACTGGCGGTGTGCTTCCAGAGCCGGCATCCTACGAAGAGATGGGATCATCGGAACCAGTTTCATATCCGTCTGAGTATGAGACTTGGAACCACCCGGAGCCGAGTGCCAGCCATCTTCTGTCACCGCTTGCCTCACCACGACGACCTCAGTACGATGGCGTCGTTCGAACTGGAAGTCGCTCCCGCGTGTCGCCGACACCGCACAACAATGTCCGCTCATCACCATACACACTCGAAAGCACTCGGTTCAAGAGGTGGTCTACCGGGCAAGCGCCAACATCTACCCCAAACAACTCGCGCCCAATGTCACAGGTTTCGGATCGTTTTGCGCCATACGGTCCCCGCCTGAACCCGCACCACTCGCTGCCCGCTTACCCGCCAAGTGCCTACAACAACTTCGGGCTACCGACGCAGAACGTGTTGTACTCGCAATCGAATTCTCCTTATGCCAACAACCAGCCGTTCTTCGCCCACCAGGAGCAACAGCAGCATCATCTCGAGGTGCCTCGACCGCTACCTTCGCAGGGCCTGTTTCGCTTACTCCAAAGTAACGCGGATCGTCACGGAGGCTGCTCATCTCATTTTGCAGACCTGTCAGACCCACCTGATCTTTACTCCTCCCTGCACGAAGAGGCACTCAACCCACCGGAGTCCGACATGAACCCGTCCGATCCCGACCTTGTGCCACACGAGCAGGATCTTCGCTTTGTTGGCGACCTGTACACCCCGCGTTGGGTTCGCGGTCATGGCAATAAACGAGAGGGCTGGTGCGGTCTCTGCAAGCCTGGCAGATGGCTTGTACTCAAGAACAGTGCTTTCTGGTACGACAAGTCCTTCACGCATGGTGTCAGCGCAGCTACCGGCGCAGCGTTCCAGGGCCCGCAAGACACGCGCCGGACGGAAGGCAATCTTGACGTCTGGGAAGGACTTTGCGGGAGTTGCGGTGAATGGATTGCGCTCGTCAGCAACAAAAAGAAGGGAACGACATGGTTCCGACATGCATACAAGGTAAGTCATACGTCCTTCACATTCCACGGTGCTTGGCTATTGGCTCTCCGTAGTTCTGATTCGCCTCGCTACCAACTATTATAAGATCGAGTATGCTAACACTGCCGCAGTGTCACACACACCCCAAAGTCAAAGATGGCCCCAAGCGCCGCCGTGAGACACAGGCTGGGCGCGTTCGTGCAGCGTCGTCCGCGTCAGCGACCTCGTCTTCGTATCCAGTCAAGCCGGAGCTCTCGACGTCAGACGCGACATCTCACCGCCATTCCACACCAACACCGATACCCGGTAGTTCGTCGCTCCAGTCCTACGGCATGTCGAGCGGTCCGTCTCCCATGCCAACCTCCACACCAACATCGACTCCGCAAGTCAACACCTCGTGCTATCCCAGTACAGCGTACCCCACACCGACTTCGGGCACGCCCAATATGCATTCCCTTCGAACCCCGACCGCGACGTCATTTGGTGATGCGTATGGCGACCCTTCTAGCAGACACGAGCCCGTAGTTGGCATGTTTACCACGCCACTTCAAAGCTTGCAGAGCTTCTCCGGCCACCAGTACTCGCATTCGCCAAATCTCTCGCACCAAGTCAGTGAACCCGAGCTTGTGGGTATACGAACAACTACCACGGCACTCAACTCGATTGCGAGCATGATATGAGTCAAACTTCCGATCTCTAGACTTTCTTTCACAAGCAACAATTGCGTCCTGGGTTTCTCTCGGCGTCACCGGCTTCACGGTACATCCACGGAAGGGTAGGTAGCACAAAAAGACTATCGCACGGGTGGGTGTGGTACTGGTATCTGAACTTCCTCATTCTTGCGTCTAATCTCGCGTCGCGCCGTCGCATCGACTATTTACACCCCCCTTTTCCAGCGTTCTTGTTTATAGCGTTCCCATTCCCGCAGCAGCGTTCACTCATCTATCTCGGCATTCACGAAGGCACGACTCCCAGCATTTTCAGTAGTAGCATAGCCTTTCTGTCATCATCTCTATCCCTCGACATGTCACACTGTCACACACACCAGCGATATCCCCACCTCCCTTTACTTTGCCAACCAACGTAGGTAGAACGTAGTTTAGTCCCGCCTTTTTTTACTTTGCGCAGCGCAAAAACGTTTATAGACTTGTTTTCTCCTGTAGAAGTTGCAATACCATTGAACAATGCGTTAAGAAGTTTTACAATCTTGACTTGAGAACTGTTGAATTGAATTGGCTATATTTGGATGAAGGGAAAATAGAAACTTGTTGAGCAAACGTGCTTAGGAAAATAAAAAGACGTTGGCACGGTTCATTTTGGTCGACTGGGACCTGCAGCGAGCGGTGCGGGAACAAGCAAATGGATGCCCAACGCTCAGCCACATCCGACACTTTGATCTTTTTCCCGCACTGCCACCTCACCGACTAACCGACTCACCAACTCACCCAAACACCAAAACCACAACCACAACTCCAACCCCAACAACCAACACACATCTTCTTACCACCACCCCACCTCTCACATCCCCTCTATTCCCTTCACCCCATTCTACTCACTCAGCACCCACCCTCACCGTCAACATTTGCCGGTGAGACCCCAAAGTAACGCCTCCCGCACACACGGTGTTTCAGCCTTCTTGCCGTTGGGTCTCAGATCCTGCAGCCCGAAACTGAGGCTGTGACGAGGCTGTGTAACGTGGATGAGGCCGTGTGGGTTGGGTATGGACACATGTTGGGAGTTTTGACCGAGGTTTTCGGCTGTTGTTGGCCGGTAGGTGGGGAGGGGAGGGGAGGGGAGGGATACGTGTGGGAGGGACAGTGGGTGGTAGGAGAAGTGGAGAAGATGTGGTTAATAATAGTTGGGAGGGTATAAAATGTCACTGGTATAAGGAAGGTTCAATCGTGGTGATGTGGTTCTTGCTTCCTGAGTGGCATCGTAAAGGCCACGCGCGCTTTGCGCCTCCCAGCACGACCGACGCCGTCTATATCCAGTCCCCATCCTCCAAAATCCACACTTCCTCGAACTTTATTGACATCCAGGAAATTACTCATGCGCAACGACCTTCACAATGGCCCGCCATGCGCTCTCGTATCCCGCGTATCCCGCGTATCCCGCGATACCGTAATCCCAGCCTCGTATCCTGAGGCTGGGTCGAACTCAGGGTCCAAGCGATGTCGAACGGGATCTACGACGTGGCGTTATCCGGGTGTATGCACGACATCTTTCCTGATCGGTAAGGGTGGCTTTTGAGTTATATGAAGGACTGTTCGTCTGCCGCTCCGGGAAAGAGGACGGGTAGGGGGTGGGTGTGGAGATGGAAGATTATGCGGGATATGCGGATCTTGCGGGGGAAGTTGCGGTTTGGGAATGCGATGCGAGGTAAATGAGATGAGGTAGGATTAGGCGTGAGATCGATGGTATGGTATAGAAGTCTGACGTTAAGTGGGGTATCAAGCTGAACATCCGCATCCGGGTTTGCCGTAGTGTTTGAAGTCGTCGTAGGCGGTTCTGACGATAGTCTCGACCGACTCTGATTTGAGTCCTAGTACGTAGTTCGAGTTGCGATTCCTGAAAGGTCTTGAAGCGTCCAGTTGTTCGTCATACAGCACGCTGCGCTCGAGCAGAAACATGCCAGAGTCGGGGAATCCTTTCTCTATCCTCTTCTCTCCCTCTGCAACACACTCTTGAACATCGTGATTCCCGACGGTGAATTCACGACCAGTCGTCTTTTCAGTAGATCTCAGGACCTCGTTGGCGGACGTTATGACGCCTGCAGCGTATATGTATTGGTTCCTGACTTGGTCCCAGTGTGAGATTACGCGTTCCACGACGCGTCCGACTCTCTCCAAACTGGAAGCTGCGAACGCTTCGGTACCGATGCCATGGATAGTCGCGCTATGCCATTCGAGATCAAAACCCATGTTGCCGCTGATAAGCTGGGTGTCCAGCGTATACCCAGTCGCAATCGCAGTCCATTCGAAATACGGGTAATCTTCCCGCATGCTCCTTAGATGAGCAATGACCTTCGCTCGGCCAGCGTCTTTTGGAATGCGCGTCTGGATCTGTTTGTTCATGCTGTCGTGACTGAATTCATCAGGGATGAAGCGCCTTACGCCGGCGGCGATGGCGGCGTTTATTATGCGGATCTGTTGCTCTGCATCTCCGCCTGACATTGTGCTTATAACCAAGTCTTGCCCAGTCATTACCGACTGTAGTGAAGCGGACGAGTAGCCGGATCTCTTGTGCTGTACATCGGAGGCCTTGACGTGAGGTGGCAGGCTGAGGGTTTGTGAAAGATAAGTGAGTACAGTGACTTGATATCTGGGTGTTCCTTGTCGTTTTTCTTGTGGGAAAAGGGCGTTGAGGATGGTGAGGCAAAGCTCCCAGTTCTACGCGTGTTAGCCACTCGATGCCAGTCAGCCCATCCCGCGTCTTACTCCTAATATCATGATCTTCTCGATGGCCATGTTGGTGTTTTTGAAATCAAGGGCAGGTGAGGAAATGTCACACGAGTGCAGTAAGCTTCACCTTTACATAGGTTGGAAGATGAGGCCCCCCGCACTTGACACGGTTGAAAGGAAGAGCCAACACTAGCTCATTTCGTCATATAAAATAGGACCAGAAATGAAGCTGTAGAGGTCTGTGATATCCATGCGGATAAGAGATCCGACATTCTCTACACCAATCATCATGTTTGGAGTACTGTGCAAACCTTAAACTCTAGTGTTAGGCAGTCCGGCGGCGTGCAGCAGGGGCGTTCCAGAACATGAGCAAAGGCTATCGTGAAAGGGGATGCGCTTTGTGGAGGCGACAGTATAGGAGTCTCAAGAACTTTCAAAGACGCAATGTATGATACAGATGAGAAGTCGTGGGGAAGTGCGGAGTTGGTAGGGAAGGCAGCGCCAAGCCAACGCACGGACGCGGCAACTTCCGGGATCGCAGCTGTGCGAGCTTTTGCGGACGACGATAGCAACACCACCGAAACTCCCGCGACCGCAACACCATCTCCCCTCATCTCCCCAGGCTTCGACCATCGCGTCCAGTGCGTCAATTTCCCGTCTCGCAGGCTCAGCTCCGCCAATTGGACCCCCACAGCAGCGCGCTGACCCGCAAAACTCCAGATAGCCCATCATGAACGCCGCCCGCTTCCTCCGCCCCTTCTCCAGGGCCGCCGCTGCCCGCGCGCCCATGGCCGTCCGCCCCTCCGCTCTGGCGCGCCCCGCCTTCATCGCGAGCCAGAACAAGAAGGTCGAGGTTGGCCCTCAGCAGATGGTGAGATTGGACTCCGGGAAACATCTGGAAGGAAGGAAGGAAGGAAGGAAGGAAGCTAATACAAGTGATAGACTATCCTCAAGTCGGCCATGCCCCAGCTCATCCCCTTCTTCTTCGTCAACGAGACCACCGTGGCCTTCATCCTCCTGCCATCGCTCATCTACATCTTCTCCAAGTACATCCTGCCCCAGCGTCTGCGCATGTTCGCTGCCCGTCTCTTCATCAGCAAGTTGTAAGCGAGGAATTGGAAGGATCAGAAAGAGCCGATGACACTGTATAAGTAGTGGGAATATGCTCATAGACAATTCAATGGCATTGCACGAAGGATGGTGATTTGTGGAGTGATGACTACAGGGCATTCTTCGATGTTTAACCGATGTCTCAGGCCCGCTCACGATACTACGAAGAAGGATACAACAGCTGGAGAATTTGCGGAGAGGTCCCAGTGTGTCCAGAGCGACAGCCCCGCATCGATGAACGGTAGCTATGTCTGTCAAACCAGCGAGGAACGAACATGTGGGGCCTCTCTTCAGCTTACCAGACTCAAGCCTTCAGACTTTATTACTCCTCAGATAATCAATCTGCACGACCTACACCCACGGGAACAGCATTGTATGACCGATTCTCGAGCGGCATTTCGAAAGCGCGTTTCGTTGGCACACAACCATTAATCGACCTGACGGTTCTGATGCGTAGCGAGCTACTTCTAGCAAGATCCCCCTTCAATTTGTCGACCTGCTACTGCAGAAGCTGAATATTGATATCAGGCATGATGGTACCCACATCCACCTGAAGTGTCTGCATCGTCTTTGCGTATACTCCAATTTGAATCCTGCCTGCCTTCTTGTCACCACGGCACTATAAGCCCTGTCCTCTTGAACCTTCAATTTCACCTCACACTACCTTTCCTTAAATACCGATCAACAACATGCGCAGCAACTGCGGTCGTGATAGCGCGGCTGAAGAGGCTGTCTCGGATCACCTGCTTACATACCTCTTGGCAAGTCCGACATAAGACCGTGACCACGGACAGATCTGACAGATCTGGCATGCGCATGCATTCTTCCGTCCTTTTGCATGCTGTTTCTCTACTCACTACAACGCTTCCAGCACATAAGGGCCTATTTCGACGAAGTGCTTCATTTCATATGCAAGTGATCTGCTCCGAAGCACACATGCAGGTACCCATGATGGCGCAAACGCCCAAGACCGGGAAGGCCCCGCGGCACAAACGTCGGGACATTATGCATCGTGGTGTACGTGGTATAAAGTGAGGCAGTGTAGCTTAGCTTAAAGACATATACGTCGACTTCTACCCTGAATGGTTCATCCAAGTCTACCAACCATGAAGTCCACTATCATCGCTGCCCTTCTGGGCTTTGCCTCTCTTGCGGTCTCTGCGCCTGCA